GAGGGCTCTGCGCCATGCTGCCTTTGCCCCAGGAGCTGCACATTGGCCATGCTGCATGTCCCCTGCCCACCCAGCCATGGGAGGCACAACATGGCATTACTCAGCTCCTGGGGCAAAGGAAACAGGGCGCAGAGCCCCAGCACACAACAGGAAGCTTGCCTCCACCCCATGCATAGATCCAGGGGGCATGTGTTCCCCATGCCTTCTCAAGGCTCTGCACACAAATCTGGGGGACATGGGGCCCCCCATGCCTCTTCTGGGGGTGTGCATGGTGATGGGGAGCCACACCACCCCCCATAGCCCTGGACAAGCCTCCCACATCCTATCCCTGGACCTGTCCTGACCCCAGGGCTCCATTCACCCCAGCCCCAGCCCCTGCCCCTGCCCCACTCCATCTCTTACCATGGGAGCCTCGATCTGCGCCACCCCCACGCTTTTTCCTTCCCCCATGCCCGTCCTCTCCACAGACTTACCTGCAGGGCTCAGCTCTACATGCTGGGCTGTGTTCCTGGCTGCGTGCAGGCTACAGCTGCTCATATGTGTCTGTGTCTGTGTCTGTGTCTGTGTCTGTGTCTGTGTGTGCACCCCCCATGAGGCTGTACATGTGGTGTACACACTGTTTAGGTCAATGATTACATGTCCTAAAAGTATGTACAGTGTTAATCTGAAAATCCAGCTCTATTTTGAATATGTAATAAGCTACAATTTTACACTTATTTATGAGCAGAGAATTCCAGGGCCTAGAAATACCAGCCATTTTAACTGTGTAATTTGTAAGCTTTGGCAAGCAAGGTCAGAAGGTTCAAGGCAGAGTAAAAAGCAGGACAGTGGGTTTACTATACATGAACTAACACCAGCTGCTACTTTACTTCCCTAATTGTCAAAACCATCCACCCTCCATCAGCAGTGGAGCAAGGAAATAATTTCACAAAGAACCTTCCACCCCATCACTTCCCAGGCAAATTCCATTGACTCCCCCCACTAATCACTGCAGAAATTCCAGTGCTCATAGAATATTTGGGATGTTCCACTGGTAAGGCATTATAATCCATTCTTTATGAATCCCAGATGTTGAAACTTTAACCCCTTTTCTTTGTGTTTCTGTTTCAGCTTCTGATATAGCTGCGGAGCAGGGGCAGATTCTTGTAATTGCCACTGCTGCTGTTGGTGGATTCACTCTCCTGGTCATCCTCACTCTGTTCTTCCTAATCACTGGGAGGTAATTAAAACTTTGCTATACTAATTTACCCAAGGTGATTCATCCCAAAGAGAGGGTTCATATTCATTATTAGTACAATTAATGCATGGTTTGAGTTGTAATAGGACCTTGTGAAGAACAGCTGTAGTGTTATAAATGTCATCTTTATTCAGTATCATCAACTCTCACAATGCTATTGTGAGTCCCATGATATCTGGAGTTTTGCTTATAGCTTCATCCCATGGAGGCCCTTGATTCTGTAAAAAAGCTAAGCTTTCATTTTTTTTTCTTTTTATTTTAAGTAAATCTCTCACCTTCCTGGTTGCAGAGAAAAAAACTTGAAGACATAACCCAGCTGCTCCTTAAAAACTCAGAAACAAGAAGAACATTAAAATAACCCATAATATATTATGCATTTTAAATCTCATGGTTTTAAGCAAATCACACAATTTGTGCAAGTGGCAGCTGACTCCTGTTTTCTGAATGCATGGGGTAGGCAATTTGTCTTGCTATATGCAGCCATTTTAGTGGCTTACTTTGATTTATTTTCATCTGTATAAAATTTTGAAAAAGTAATACCTGCACAGCAGCAAATACAGAGATTGAATATATGAACAGAAATGGTGCAGATTGAAATCTTTTCTCATGTGCAGTGGTTGGTTGTTTTCTCCCTTATCTGTTAATTTCAGTTTAGTGATAGAATCTGGGCCTTCCTAAGCATGAGATTGAGAGCATGGTTAAAGGCCATGTAATTTGAGAATAATATGAAATTAAACAGAGTATAAAAACATTTGGAAAAATCTCCAGGCAATGATATCTATTGGGCTATAGAATAGACTCCCCAAGGGAAATGGTGAGAGCTTTGTTTGCTTGGGATTTTTAAAATGAAAGGGAACATAGCCATACTAAATTTACTGAAGAGAACATTGCTATGTTGGCAGGAGAATTCACTAGATGATCTATAAGGATTTACCCAATTCTCATATTACTATGATTCTCTCATACCATTTCCTTCTTTATAATACAGAGATGGATTTGTTTTTTTTGCTTCCCCTCCTTCTCCCCTCAGTTTGTAGTCAAATGCAAAATGGGGGGGGGTTTCACCCAAGTTGAAGGGGTGGAAAAAAACCTCCTCTTGGAATCAAGTAAATAAGGTATTTTTATGAACAGAGTAGCCTGTTTGGTAGGGCTGTATTTGTGCTACCCTAGTTGGGAGGTGATTCACCTGAAGCACAAACTGTTAAGTTTGCTAGTTTGTGGATAAGTAGTTCATAGAGGGTCCTATAGAAAAGGCAGCCCTGTGGAAAAACCTGAGAAAATCCTATGTGAAAATTAAATTCATAAATACTTCAACAGGGAAATTAATAATTTGCTGGTGAAGGAAACTCACATATTGGATATAACTGTGGACCAGATTATACCAGATGGACGGGTATGACGTGACTTCTGTACTGTTAATGTAACAGACTTGGTCCTTACTAATACCCAGATACTTCTGCTGGATGTGGATAGAAGGAAGTTGGACCCTAAGGAGAAATTCTTAGTGCTTTATGGCCGACAAAAATCAATTCCTTCCTGCAGCAGTTCAAAACAAGCTGTGTTGAAACCAGGTCATGATGCAATAACAGGTCTATAGATAAAGGACTGATACAGCGAGCCTACAAGGAGTGTTTGAAGTGAGAAATATCCTGTCAGGATGGCTGTTTAGCATAACTCTGTTTCAAACTGAACCAAAGAGCAAGTTCTGGGTAGTAGCAACAAATGTAACAAAGAAGGTGCAGCTAGGGGAAAAGGCAGTGTCCAATGTAGCTGATGTTTCAAAGCCTTTCACAGGCAGATAGAAAGAGCTGTAAAACAACTCAGTAATAAAGCTAGGGTGTTGACAAAATTATTTATAGAAGCCAAAAAGATGAAGCAATCACTGCTACTATGTTTGCTAGTGTCTTATTCAAGAATAATGATGATCTTGGGAAAATTAGGATTGGGGTCACAACAGATCATACTGAAACCAGGGAATGTTTCTATGATGCAGAACCCAACATCAAATTCCCATGGCATGTTAAGCAGGGGTGTAAGAGAAGCAAACCTGCATGCTGGAGGATAATCTTTTGGCATCCTCAGTTATTATTGTAAAAAACACAGTGGAGACCTGAGAATAAGTGTTGATTCCAGAAGTCTTAATCCACACACTGTTCAAGATAGCGGCTCATTTCCTCATGTGACAGACGCTGTGGATAAAGTGTCAGGAACAAAGCTTTCTAATATATATTTTTTGGTATCTGGATACTATTAGATAAAAATGATACCTGAGGATAAAGGGAAAACTGCCTTTGTGACATTCTATAGATTGTTTCAATTCTGTAGAATGTCTTTTGGACACTTAAATGCACCAAGGACATTTTAGAGGACAATAAATATCTAACCCAAGTTTCAAGAACTTAAAAGCATCTTCACATAACTGATTTCTTTATTTCCAAGAAACATTTTGTAGTTGTGGAAAGGACTCTAGAACTTTTTAAGGAGGCAGCATCTGGTTAGGACATACAGGCCACGAAGATAGACAGTAAGGACTGTAAAGTCTCTATAAATCTTTGTGCAGGAGTTTGTAGGTCTCTATGGCTTCTACAGGAGACTGGTACAAAAATTTAAAGGGCAAAAAGACTGTATCTAGGCTGAGGGTAACATCAAAATCTATTTGAGTCACTAAGACAAAGACTTATAAAACATGCTGTGCCTAAATTCCTGGGTCTACCCTATCCATTGTGGCTGTTGTTGGCTTTGCATTTGAACAACTTGATGAGCACAAGCACAACATGAGCAGATGGCTTTGGGAGGTCACAAAATACATGAGGAAAACCAAGTATATGGCTACATAACTAGTGTCTGGCTATTATGGAGGCCCCAAAGTCCTGTTATCTGTATGCACTAGGTATAGAATGTGTGATGTGAATTATGTGTTGTCCCTTATTAGCTTGTAAGGGAATTTGAATGGTCTGTAGAATAAGTCACCTGGAGTCAAAATGTGTCCTCATGTCTCCACTGGGTTGTTTCTACAATTAAGTGTCCTGCAGAGGCTTCTTATGAGTACAACGCAGAAGGATGCCTGTCTAGCAGGATTAAAAAAACAGCCCAAATAAACCTTCATACTTCACCGTATATCTGAAAGGCAAAATATGCCTGCAGAGGTTTTCAGTAGAGTGAAAGCACTAGGAATAGACTGAGCTTGTGACATCAGGCAGGACCAGTCCAAGAACCCTGAGTTACTTTTTGTGTGCCAATGGATCTGCTAAAGGAGACTTGCATTAGGGAGTTTTTATGCCAATCAAAAACCATTACTCACTGATCATCTGGTTACAAGTTTGCACATATATGAAGGTAACAGACCTGTTTTGGCAGCAAACTTTCACAGAACACTACTAAATCAGCAGCATGATGATGAAGCAGGAGGCTACTTGGGTTATGAAAAGACATTTTGCTAAGTATTTGGTAGATTTTTTTGACTGGTCCTGGCTGCAGATGATATATAGCAGGTACTTTTTTGTCTTATTTGTCATGCAAGAAGAATGCCAGCAAAAGGAAGCCAAACATCTTTGGGGAAAATTTCTTAACTTTCTGTGTCCTGGACACAGATATATTTGAAAGAAATATTACCGGAAACACCAGCTAGAAATTGTCACTTGCTGGTAGGATGACACTTTTTCAAAGTATATCAAATCACAGCCACTAAATGTTAAAAGGACAGAGAGAGCTACACATGCACTGATTGAACATGCAGTGTTGCACTTCAGCCCACCAAGATGCACCTGCAGGGATCAAAGAAAGGGATTTGAATCACAGTTATTATCTGATTTTTGCCAACAACTCCAGATAATCAAGATAGGGACCAGTACAGTTCACTCTGTGAATACAGAAATAACGCCACTGATTCCATGTTTAGTGTCTTACCCAGTGAAGGTCAACAAGACTGGAAGAGAAAGACACATCTTTGTAATCTTTGCATATAACACTAATCTATCCTTTTCTCTCCTTAAAAACTATTTGTTGACACTGAAAATCCATGTTCCCTTTGACATTATGCTTAGGCAGCAAGAACTTGCAAGGCTGTTTTCAAATTCATGGGTGGGGGATGCAATGCACCCTTCTATCTGTGACCTGAAGGACAGCATTTGAGAAAATTAAATAATATTTGAGATTGAAACAAGTGTGTCAGGCACAGGATACCATGGGGAAAAAAAATTATGAACCGATCTGGAGAGGGAGAGAGAGTGTGGCTGTACAGCCAAGAAATAACCCTCAAACTTACTCCTTTTGAGGAGGAGCTTACACAGTAATTAAGAAAGGAAACAATTTAATTTCACTACTGATACAACAGGTGACAGCTCATCTCTATAGTGTATCAAGAACCGGTGCATAGATTCACTGAAAGAAAGGAAAAGAAAAAAAGCTAAAAGGGCTCAGTAGAGGGATGCAAAAAATAATTTGAAAAGACCCAATCAGGTTCCTAAAGCACATAACTAGGAGGTTGGATGTACAGGGGAATTGCTGGTATGTTCTTAAGACTTCCACAAAGCAACATTCCAAAGAAAGTCTGCCCACAATGAATCGGCCTGGCCTAGAGGATATATATAAGCTCTCTAGTTACTGATCATTTAAATGAAGGTATAAGAAATATACCCATGACTGAATGTAGGACTTGGAAAACCATGTGGATGGCAAATCACCTGGATTTCTAGCTATGACAACAGGAATGAGACTTTTGCTTCCAATTCTTATTGGAGTGGAGAAAGTTGTAATTGTCAGTGCAGATCATTTGTAGATAGTACTGTATCTTTTCCATAGGGCTAAGGGTTTTATCTAATTCTATGTCACGTTATTGTCCCTAACTGGGGAAACTAAAATGAAAGTTAAGGTCTGTCTTTGTGGACTTGACGTACTACTCTCAAAGTCTCAATAAATCATTTGATTGCTATAAGCAAGAATTACAATCTCTATCATTATGGAAATTAATGTACTGTTCACTTGTGATGGAGTAAAACAATAGAACCGTCAGTGTTAACATTCAATTAAGAAAAATGGGAGAAGTTAACTTCAAAACCTACTTGTGACAAATTAAATTCTTGGAGTGTAGGCAAATATCTTTACGAGCAGCTACCACTGTAAACACTGAAAACATTAGACTGTTTTAGGGTCATAAGGGTGTATTCAACCAAAGACAAACTTCTGAAATAAATGATTGTGTAGAACCAGCAATTGGAATTCCTGAAATATAATTTGAAAGCTTCTCTTGAAAGGAAATAAGTAGTGGGATAAGCTGTGTATTGAAATGAATATTCCTCAATCCTTTCTGCTTTCATTTTTCCATTTGCTAATGTTAAGAACATCAGAGGTTCTTTTCGCTTTCTAGCATCATACTGAACGGCAGTATTTCAATTACATAAGATATGAATTCATTTTGAAGTATTGCTTAAATGCAGTGATAAGAGAATATTCTTTGGAAATTATTCTCTGAAGACAGAGTGAGAACATTTTGAATAAATACTCAATTTACTATAGGATTTGAGGCAAATTTCAGCGTAAGAGATTGGATTGGTACCATACAGATGTGCTCTGCTTCACTGTTTAGAATTAGCAATTTGATGAACTGTCAAATCACAAGGCTGCTGATGAATCTATTCATATTGGAGAGACAGGGCGAGATAAGCACCTAACTGTGTACTTCAATGAATGATTATTCACTAAGAGCAAACAGGAAGCAGTTCTATCACATTTCAGATATAGAAATGAAAGCTTTAATGACGTAAAGCCGAAAAAAAAAATCATAGGGGATGGCTGTTTAAATTGCAGGAAATTCATCATTAAATTCTATTATAATTTATTTTGACCATTAGAGAAATTAATTTTTGGTTTGTCTTGCAGCTACCAATACTGAAAATATGCCAAAACTGTAAAATTTGTTGTTATAACTCATACAAGCTCCCCTTGGTGGCAGATGCTTCTGTACTTGCTCAGACCTAAGGCCCTGCATACTCTTTGCCTGCTAGGGAGATGGGCAAAATTCAGAGTAGCGGTTCTCAACCTTTTAAGATTCAGGACAGTCCTCCATAACTTTTTTGTATGTACTGGCCCATCTGCTGGGAAACACATTGCAGTGCCTCCACTTACGTCATTGGGTCTCAACCAGGGTTTGCAACATGAGTATTCAGGGTTGGACCAGGGAGGGATGGGGCAAACTGGGCACTCCTGCCTGCCTTAGTTTTATCAGATAACCCACAGCCTTTCCTGGTCTGGCTCTGCACAAAGTGTAAGTGGCAGTTTCACCCAATTGCAGCAGCAGTGGTGGCAGTGTCCATGCTGTAACAAAGCTGTTGCATTACCTAGTTGAGAAACACCGGCTGAATTAGTTTCTTTGGCTCTAGGCTTCTGGGAGCACAGTCCAAGTGTGAGCCCTGTGTTTGACATCCTCTTTGGAAGTGGGGACCCCATGGCCAAGGCCCCCAAACCAGCTTTGACTTGCCCAAGTGTCTCAGTAAGACCTTGGACACTCTCAAAATTTCCACCAAAGTCAGAGACCTCTTATTTACTTCTTTATTTTACCTCTTATAGTTAGGGCTATATGATGAAAGCAAATTGCATGCACATTCACATGCAGATTCTGCCAATATACTTCTAAGCACACACAACTTTTAACTCATGCAGAAAGCATCATAGGTTTACTAAACCTTGAAAAATATTTAATATCTGCACACAACTCCCTCCCTCTCTCCCTCCACTATTGTAACCATTCTAAAAGAGCTCTAGATTTTGGTCAGTCCTTTTTAGGTCCCCAGTCTTCCCAGTACCAACCTACTGCCCATCTTCTCTTATCAGCTGGTCAGTTTGCGAGAGAAATGTACTAAGAGCAGACTTTTTCATTTTTTTTTTTTTTTTTAAATAACTGTTCAGTCACTTGTGTCATCTCAACTATGCCTCAGTGGTCACCTCAGGCAAGCAACGTTTCTTATGAAATGATCTGTTGCTTAATTTCCCTAACCTATAGTCCAGATTGGGAAGAATAGTTTCTTATAGCATGGCTAACCCTAATAACAGCCCCAGAATACTGGCATACCAATTCATTAAATGTTAATGACCATTGATCACTCTGTGCTGTTCATTCACTGAAAACACCTCTTGGGACTCCAGTCCAATATGAGGCCAAAAAAACAAAAGGGGCTTCACAAAATTAAATTGAGTTTGAAGTTCATTATAAGTACTTACAAATATACACTGAATCATAATCATACTCACACAATTGGCTGAATTTTGTTTACTCTGTATGTTCACTGAAATCTTGCCTGTGGTAACAACAGCATAAATGCACACATTGGAGTACAGGTCCAATCAGAGAAAATGTCCAGTTTTGACACTAAAATAATTTTAAACCTAATTCTCTCTCAGCCATGAACTTGGTCCTACTAAAGATATCACCCACAATAATCCTTACCTATTGCAGATTTCCTGGGCCATCATGGCTACAACCTCACTCCAACACTATGATCTTAATCCTTTTATTTAGCCCATCAGTATCATAGGCTAGGGACAGACATTACACACAAACTGGTTTAAGTGATCAAAACTGGCTTAAACCTGTAACAGAACAGATGCTCAGTTCACATAAACCAGTTTGAAAATGGCTGAAACCGGTTTGAGATAAACCTAGTTGAATGTAGTATCAGACTTAACTGATCTGGGTCAAATCGGTTTATGCAATGTCTGTCCCAGATCCTTTCCTGGTTTAACTTAAACCAGAGTGCCCCAGCATCCCAGATGATTTGCAGCCCTGGGCAGGGCTCTCAGTTTCACAGCACCAACTTAACAGGGGCATCAAAACTGCTCCCACCATTGCAGACTCTATGCCTCAGCAGCAAGAGCAGCCATACAGCATTGCTCTTGCAGGAGCAGCTGGGTATAAGAGGAACAGCTGGGAGTGGTATTAGAAGCCAGAGGATGTTTTTCAGTCCCCAGCATAGATAAAACTCCTATGCCCTCCCCTCCCCCTAAGTTCTCAGAACCATACCCTTATGGCACTCTCCTTGCCTGCACTTTCCCCTGCTTTCCTGCAGGGTTGCCTAGGGCACAAACCCTGCTTGTTATACCTCTAGCAAACACAAAGGTAAGGCATTGAGGAGTTAATATTAGTTATTTGTCACCAAATTGGAAGAAGTTTTAGGATTTTTTAATCAAAGATAAGAGGTATAAACCTGGAAACGAAGTATCTGGTTTGAGCTAAATGTGAAAAGTTTGGATTTATTGCATCTCATTTGAATTTTAGTGTAGGTCATTTTACTACTAATCAGCCCAAGCACATTTTATTTTTATTTGTATGTAGTTTATTCTAGTTGCTCATAATGCATAATTCTTTCAAAAATTCTTAACAAAAGATATTTTCTGTATGTTCGGTATAGGTGGTTCAGCACTGGTAACCAAAATAGTTTGTCATAAAACTGAACATAAAATGCCATGTGGTTTTATTCTGTATGTGATAAGTTTTTTAATTACAGCTCTGTTTCCTTGTTTTTAAAAAGATGCCAGTGGTACATCAAGGCCAAAATGAAGTCTGAAGAAAAAAGAAGGGCTCATTTGCAAAATGGGCATTGTAAGTTGTGCAACATTTTATTACTTAATGCCTTTCTCATATTTTAAATAAATTTAAGCATTGCTTTCTCTACACCTTTTGTCCATGCTCCTGTAAGCTATTCATTGTGGGTAGACCACTGTTGATTATACAGTTAGGATCTCTTTTTTGTCTGTGCATTCTCTTCTCGAATTTCATTGAAATATTTGCATTTATTATAATGAGCATTTCAACATTAGTACAATTCAGTAGTTTTTCAGGCTAGTGGGCAAAATAACAGCTGATGTGAAATGCGATGTGTGTTGTGTGTACACATACACACATACATATATGTATATATGGAAAGATATATATACATATAGATAGATAGATCGATATATGCAAGAATGTGACTTAAGACTAACAAAACCTTACTGACATAACTATGCCATCATTTTTATAAACCCATGGGAGAAGGGCATGTGCATGCAAAGAGTAGAATCTTTAGAAAAGTCATTATACCCACATATCTATATTCGTGTGTGTGTTTGTGTGTGTGTGTATAATGACTTTTCTAAAGATTCCACTCTTTTTATGCAAATACCCTTTGCCCATTGGTTTATAAAATGGTGGCATAGTTATCAGTCAGCAAGTTTTTGTTAGCCTTAAGCCACATCCTTCCTTACAGAAGTATAAAGACCATTACAGTGACTAAAGAGCCAGTGAATAAAGCTGCCTGTTGTGAGACAGTAATGTGCACATCGGCAATGGACACTCTTAGTGCCTGTTATGTCCTTCAGAAAGATATATCATGGGGTGCTGTTCTCAGTGCCGCTTGTCCAAAAAGCTCTGGGGTCAAGGCTAAAATTCTTCTTGCTGGCAGCTTTGGTACAGGCCTTCTCAACCTCTAGGAGGTCTTAAGAAAAGCCTCAGTTTCCTCATGTCTGAAAGTTCCACTTTTAACTCTCAGCCCACTGCAAGGTCTCAGGCTGCTTCTTCTCAGAGACTTCATTCATTTACCACTACTTCAACATTGATGTCTGATTGAGGTAGAAAGGTGTACCTCTCAACAGAGGCTTGTTCCCTGGCACCTGAGAGGCAAAGAATCACCATTATTCTGCCTCCATTCAGCCACAAAATTGAAGAGACTCATTCCAGTACTCGAGTTAGTACTAATGTATAGGAAAGCTTTGACAGTTTGGGCTAAAACCCAAAGACTTCACTGCTCATGGCAGTGTCCTCGTGGTACTTAGAATCTCAGTCCAAAATACCTCCATATCATATACATCCTTCATAGTTGCAGTAACCTTCTCAGCATCAGCTATGTCTTTAGTGTCCAAGATCTTGATATTTATGACCTCAGCACCAAAATCCTGTATAATAGTGTGATTTCTTCTGGACTTGATACAAGTCACTTTCATTGGAAGACTCACGGAGGTCATTAAAAAGCAACCTGCTGGAGGGTCAGGAACCTGAACCAACCTCCCCTCTTTACAGGTCCTAATTGGATTGTCCCTTTCCCCCAGAGGTAACATATTTATTTTCCTATCTTCTGTCAAATAGAGCAGAGTATCATCTCCTTCATGTCCCCCATCTCCTCCTTAAGAACCTCCATGGGAGGTAGGGAAATATTCTAAGGAGTGCACCCTTATGCCCCTGAAACAGTCTAATGTTTTCAGTGTTTACAGTGGTAGCTGCTCGTAACGATATTTGCCTACACTCCAAGAATTTAATTTGTCACAGGTAGATTTTGAAGTTAACTTCTCCCATTTAGGGGAGTTAGGAAAAGGTCAAAATTTCATAGGTGTCACTTCAACTAGTACCTTCTGATGTACCATCCACCCATATACCATAAGAGTCATGGGCGACTGCTGCCTTCTGAGTCTGGGGGGACATTCCCCAGGGGCCAATCACTGTACCAGTGGCAAAACTGGAAGTGCACTTCCAGTTTCGCGGATGGCACTTCCAGGAGGTACATGGCCGATCACAGGGGGTGCGCATGCACCCATGTGCACCCCCTATGCGTCACCAATGGTAAGAATACTCCTCACTAGGTCAGCTACAGCCATTCTAGACCACCCAGCAATCTGTACCACCCCATTCCAAGAAGCCAGCTTAATCCATTGTGTCCTGGGTCCTTTATCTAAGCAGAAGATTTGGCATATTTGGATAACTCTGCTTCTTCAATCTCAGAGGCAAGAGAAAGATAATGGAGAAGAAGATAATTCACTCAATAAGGAGCATGTAATGCCAGCTGCTATTCCTTATTTTCTTCTGGTGAGACCATGAACGCACCTACATCAGCTTCTGCCTTCCAAATATTAGAAAAATACATTTCAGAAGCTTAAATATTTCCCTCAGAATGGCCAAGGGGAACAACAGAAACTCTTGGACATACTTTACTCAACAACACCAGGGAGTTTAGCCATGCCAATAAATGATGGCCTGTTGAAGCCTACCAAATCCATCTGGCATCAACCTGCTTCTCTCTCAGCCATCTCCAAGAGAGGAGACAGAAATTATCAAGTCTTTACAAATGGTTTTAAACATTTTTGTTCCCATCTCTCAACTAGCCCTCCGGTTATGCAAGCTGTTCAGGAGAAGTCAAAGGACTAAATCCCTCTAAAATCCATCTCCAGAGAAAAGAATTCCCTAAAATTGGATCTATTCATCCAAAAGACTATTCAACCATGAGTTTGTAAATGAGGGTAGCAAATTACCAAGTGCTGTTTTGAAAATATTGGACAGATGGTTGTATTTTGTTGATAAATTGTTCAAGGAATAAACGTCAAGATGAGTTTAGATCTGTTATAATGGAAGTCCAGCTGTCTTAGTGGGGCATCTATGCTACTGACAGCACCTTTGACTCTGCTCTGCATATCTCTAGGCACTCCTTTGTAATGGTAGGTTCATCACCTACTCTTCTTTCAGAGTGGAGTCCTGTAATACCCTGCACTTCTTCACTGGGTCTCCACGTTACAGCATTAGAATAGACTGATGCTCCAGAGACTTCTCATTATGAAGTATGATAATGATGACAATGTAGAGACCAGACAGCTTCATCCAAACAAAATACTTGATAGCAATCAGAGATAAAACAGTCAAAATAACAAAGGACTAATTGCATACTATTTTATGTAAAATTTAATATTTCCCTCAAAACTTAGATAGCCATAGATCCCTTTATTGCCTGTCATAGGATCATACAAAATTTGGTTGGAAGGGACCTCAGGAGGTCATTTAGTCCATCCCCCCCTGCTCAAAGCAGGACCATCCCCAACTATCTCGTCCCAGCCAAGGCTTTGTTTACCTAGGTCTTAAAATCCTCCAAGGATAGAGATTCCACAGTCTCTCTGGGTAACCTGTTCCAGTGCTTTACTACCTTTCTAGCTGGAAAGACCTTCCTAATATCTAACGTCATCTTCCCTGGCTGCTCCTTGCTTTGTCATTGGCCACCACTGAGAACAGTCTATCTCCATCCTCTTTCAAACCTCCCTCCAGGTAGTTGAAGGATACTTTTAAATCCTCTGACAGTCTTCTTTTCTCCACGCTAAATAAACTCAATTCCCTCAGTCTCTCCTCAAAAATCATGTGCCCCAGCCCCCTTGCCCTTTTTGTTGCCCTCCACTGGACTCTCTCCAATTTATCCACATCCTTTCTGTAGTGGCCCCAGAACTGGACATTTTATTCCAAATGTGGCCTCACCAGTGCTGAATAGAGGGGGAGAATCACTTCCATTGATCTGCTTTTAATGTTCGTACTAATTCAGCCCAGTATGATGTTAGCTTTCTTCAAAACAAGGGCATGCTGTTGGCTCATATTCAGCTTATTGCCCACTGTAACCCACAGGTTTTTTTCTGCAGAGCTGCTGTTTAACCAGTCGGTCCCCAGCCTGTACTGGTGTGTGGGATTCTTCCATCCTAAGTGCACTTCTCCTTACTGAACTTCATGAGATTTCTTTTGGTCCAATCCTCCAATTTGTCAAGGTCTCTGAATCCTAGCCCTACCCTCCAGCATGTCTACTACTCCCCCCAGCTTGGTGTCATGTGGAGTCTTGATGAGGGTGCTCTCCATCCTATCTTCCAGGTCACTGATAAAGATATTGAACAAAACTGGTACCCAAATGGATGCAATGCCCCTTGGGGCATTGCACTTGATACTGGCTGTCAAGTAGACATCGAGCTATTCACCAATACCCTTTCAGCCCAGTGATCCAACCAGTTGTCTATTGACCTTACAGTGCATTAGCCCAATGCATACTTCCTTAGCTTGCTTGCTAGAATGTTGTGGGAAACTATATCAGAAGCCTTGCTAAAGATGAGGTATTTTGTGTCCGCAGCTCTCCCCACATCCACAGAGTCAGTCATCTCATCATAGAAGGCAATCAGGTTGGTCAGGCATGACTTCCTCTTTGGAAACCATGCTGACTCTTCATAACCACCTTCTACTCCACCAACTGCTTAGAAATGGATTCCTTGAGAACCTGCTTCATGATTTTTCCAGGGAGTGAGGTGAGACTGACAGGTCCATAGTACCTCACATCCTCCTTCTTCCCTTTCTTAAAGATGGGCATTACATTTGCCCTTTTCCAATCATCCAGGTCCTCTTCAGTTGCCACAGGTTTTCAAAGATAATGGCCAGGGGCTGTACCATCACATCAGCCAACTCCCTCAGCACCCTCCAGTGCATCATGTCCAGCCCCATGGACTTGTATACATCCAACTTCTCTAAATAGTCCCTAACCTGTTCTTTTGCCATTGCTAACTGTTCACCTCCTCACCAAACTGTGCTGCCTGATGCAGTCTGGGAGCTGACCTTATCTGTAAAGACTGAGGTAAAAAAGGCAGTGAGTACTTCAGCCTTTTCTGCATCCTCTGTCACTAAGTTGCCTCCCCCATTCCGTAAGAGACCCACTTTCCCTGATCTTCCTCTTCTTGCTGACATACTTGTAGAAACCCTTCTTGTTACTCTTCATGTCCCTTGCTAGCTGCAATTCCAGTTGTGCTTTGGCCTTCCTGATATCATCCCTGCATGCCTGAGCAATACTCTTACACTCCTCCATCATTGTGTCCAAGTTTCCATTTCTTGTAAGCTACATTTTTGTGTTTTAGTTCACTGAAGAGCTTCCTGCTAAGCCAAGCCGCTCTTCTGCCACATGTGCTAGTCTTCTTGCACATTCCAATGATGCACCTTCAGTAAGGTTTCTTTAAAATACAACCGGCTCTCGTGAACTCCTTTCCCCCTCAAACTGGCTTCCCAGAGGATCCTGCCCATCAGTTCCCCGGGTGAGTCAATGTCTGCTCTTCTGAAGTCCAGGGTCCATGTTCTGCAGCTCTTCTTCTTTCTTTTCTGCATGATCCTGAACTCAATCATCTCATGGTTGCTGCTATCCAAGTTGCCATACACTGTTACATCCCCTACCAATTCTTCCCTGTTTTTGAGCATCAGGTCAATAGTACAGACCCTAGTTGGCCTTTCCAACACTTGCACCAGAAAGTTGTCCCCAACACTCTCCAAAAACTCCTGGATTGCCTCTGCACTGCTGCATTGCCCTCCCAGCAAATATCAGGTTGACTGAAGTCCCCCACGAGAACCAAGGCCTGTGATTGAGAAACATTTGCTAGCTGTTTGAAGAAAGCCTCGTCCACCTTATCTTCCTAGTCTGGTGGTCTTTAATAGATACTTGCCATGACATCACCCTAGTTGCTTTCTCCTCTGACCCTAACCCAGAGACTTTCACCGGGCCTGTCTGCAGTTTCATACTGGAACTCTGAGCAATCATACAGCTCTTTTACATAAATCACAACCTCTCCTCCTCTTCTCCTCTGCCTGAATTTCATGAACAGTTTGTACCCACCCATGTTAGTGCTCCAGTCATGCGAGCTATCCCACCAAGTCTCTGTTATTCCAGTCATGTCATATGAACATCACTCTCTGGCTTTCCACTGAATCATCTAGGAAGACTGGAGAGATTCAGGTTCTTATGTCAGGTCATCTCTATGCCATGTTTTGCCATGGACAAGGGAATCTTTATTCTTCACCCTAAATTCCTACCACAGGTATATGGAATTCCCTGTAAATCTACTTTTATATTAATTGCATCCTAGATTTCTTCTTTTAGACTCTCTCTCTCACTCTCTCACTCTTGCTGTCCTGAATAAAGCAAAAACATACATGTAGCAAGAGCTTTGCTATTGTGTTTAGATAAAACAAAATAATTCAGTAGTGCATAAACTATTCAAGGCATCTGATGGCAGGGTAAAAGGGAAGATTTATGGATGTTTTGTTTTCCCAGTAGGTGCCTGACTTTGTCCAAGCTAACATTTCTCCTAGAGCTCATTCTGTTAAACCTCAGCAAGCTTTCTCTCTGCCTGTCAAGGACACATATCTGAGATATGTAGAACAGCTATGTGGACCTCAATCCCACACACAGATGATTTTGCTTTCCCTCATGTAGGTCAGTTTTGTAGGGCTGTCCTGAAATTATTAATCAAATAAAACATCATGTACCTACTTCCCGCACATATACAACTGCTTATAACAGTAGACAAAAATTGAGGAAAGAACATCCATTGCTCAGCCCATAGTAAGCATGGTTCTTTACATTGTACTGTCAACACAGGTTCCACAAGCTGTTTTTCTGACTTTTTACTGTGGAGAATCTCAAGCATAAGGACTGAGTGCTCAGCTGAAGGATTCATACATCAACAACCATGATTACAATCCTGTCTGAGTTGATCCTGTTGTTGTCTGTGGGGCTCATTTCTGTCATATTCACTCATATTGAGGAATAGATTACTCCTTAAGTAATTCCACTGAATTATTATTGTATTTATCACATAGCAAAGTCACCCTCAATGTGAGGGTGACAGACTCGCATCCCAGATTATAAGCCACACTTAAAAGTAGGGTGTCCATTTATCCTAGGGCAGTCCCACAGATTACCAACTGCTGCTTTTAAAATATTGGACAGATGGTTGTATTTTGTTGATAAATTGTTCAAAGAATAAACATCAAGATGAGTTTAGATCTGTTACAATGGAAGTCCAACTGTCTCAGTGGGCTGTCTATACTATAGACAACACCTTTGACTCTGCTCTGCATCTCAGTCCTGCATTTCAGACTTTCTGCATTCAGTGTATTTCATGACAGTCCTGCATTTCAGAGGCTAGTCCCAGCTGGCTGGTAAAGTTTAAAATGAGCTTCTCAGGCACGGAGTGTAGGGTGGAGAGGCAGAGTGGTACAGTCTGTGAAATCAGAAGCCCTAGCGACAGCAAAATTGCCCTAAAATCAGTTAGTTTGATTAGTGGAGAAATGATTGTTAACATCTGCGAAGTAAAGAACAATGGGTCATTAATGGGTCATTGACTCCCTTAGCTGCCTGAATAGTAATGCCACAGCTGCACCACTCCTAACCCCATCCCTGCCTCAGCCTGCAGAACCATTGCTGACTTGAGGGGGATGGGAACAGTTCCCTGGATTTGACATTGTTCCATATGGTCACCCTACTTTAAAGCCTGGTGGGAGTTTAGAAGGGGAAGGGACTCTTATTTTTAAATTAATGGATGGGTTTTCATACTGGTAAGTGCTGGATTGGTGGATCTGAAGTCCTCTATTGATCCAAATATAGGCTTTTACTCCAGTTGCATCATTTCCTCAGTATCTCTGAAGTCTCACCTAGAAAGACCTTGAGGATGGGAGGGATTTTTATTTTCATACTTATTTAATCCTTGGAAGATCTGTTACTGCCAATACACTTGCCACCTGTTGTGCATTTCTGAGATTAGTTTTAGTAATTTTTAGTCACTACAATTTTCAGTTTGTATGTGACCATTATGATAAGCTTAATATGCTTTCTTTCTTTGCAGTGCATTTCCCAGGTGTCAAAACATACATTGATCCAGACACATATGAAGATCCCTCTCTTGCTGTCCATGAGTTTGCAAAGGAGATAGATCCTTCAAGAATTCGTATTGAGAGAGTAATTGGGGCAGGTAAAAGCACACTTATTTAAAGAACATTAACAATGATAACTGCCTCTCTTAGATAACTGCCATTCTCAAATCACAGCACAGTGCTAGGTGATCAAATATTTTATGAAATGTGTACAGTTTCCCATATCCAAGTGCACTCCAAAACAACTCTCACACTCAGATCTAATGGTGCAGTAATAGAAATGTTTCATATCCTGCCAATTCTAGAAAGCAGGACAAGGTGTATTCTACTCTGACAAACCTAGGTGAAGGAAGTGGGAGCCAATTATTCCCACAAAACAATGGAAATCTGGCTGATAAAGGCCAATGAGCTTCCTTGCACATAATAAGTCAAGATAAGTGGCACATAGAAGAGATGGACTGTGGAGTTCTCTCTATCATTTAGCTCCTTTTTGCTTGTTAGAGACCTGTGCTGGGTCCCCTCTTTCCTCTTCACTAAAAGGAGAACAGCAATCACAAATGGACCATTAGTCTTTCTTTCCTTCATAAACTGGGTAAGGTAATCTGGGAGACTTTTTGTCTCCAGAAAGCAAGTGTGTGTGACTTTAGGGATGAATGGATGAGTACTCATAAGAAGGTATTTTTAAACTTTTCTTAAAAGGCAAAGAAAAAATACTTAGTTTGTCTGCAGAGAACACTGGTGCCTGTCTCATTTCTGAATCCAGAAAGACAGTCTCCAGAAAAGGATAAGAGACATTGTCGCAGAGCACTTGGGTGCCCTGCGCCTGAAAGCAGAAATGGCTCAGGAGAGACCCCTAGTGGCGAGAAGAGGGAGGCTCAACTGCCAGTCACCAGGGCAGCACAGGTGCTGGTTACTAGGGCAACCAATGGAACCAGCTGAAGGAAGGGGCAGGGCTTGGCCCTTCTTAAGCCCAGGCATGAGGCCAGGAGGGCAGTTCCCCTCTGGCGGCCAAGAAGGGGCAGCTCAGCCAGTGCAGAGAGAGAGAAGATCGACTGCATGAGCATCCCCTGGTTGCTGCCATGGGTTGGAGTATTTTCCTGGTAGGGATCGAATGCTGTTTTGACTGGATGGTTTAGTTTTATGGTATAGCCCAGGGGCTTTGTGTTTTTGTGTTTACTGTTTTAACTGGAGGACCGGGTGAGGCTATTAGGGGTTGGAGGAGACCTCATAGGGACTCCACAGTAGCATGGGGATCCTGGTACCAGAGAGGGCGCAGCATTTGGGGTGCATTGGCCCCAGCCCCAGAGCACGGAGGCGGTGATAAACCCCAGAGCAAGGGGGGCAGTAAAGAGCCCAGAAAGAGGGCCACGAGGCACGGTGAGAAACCCCAGAGCAAAGTGGGCAGTGAGGAGCCCGGAAAGCAGGCTGCGAGGGGTGAGAAGCCCAGAGCAAGGGAGGCAGTGAGGAGCTCGGAGAGAGGGCCGCGAGGAGTGACGAGCCCCAGAGTAAAGGGGGCAGCGACAAGCCCCAGAGTAAAGGGGGTTGTGGGGAGCCCCTGAGAGAGAAGGCAAGGACCATGTTAGTACCATCTGCAAGGCTTGGGCTGTGGCGTAGGGGTGGAAAAGGAGCCGCAGATAGCACCCCCTGGCACCGGGGTGCATAAAGTGGGCAGCTTCCCGCTAATTACATCGGTCAGTTAATCAATTAAGATCAAGGCATGGCAGGTGAGTAAGCAAGCGGTTAGCCCAGAACAGGAAGGTGGAGCCACCAATAGAAAGGCTCCATCAGAGATACTCCTGTCACAGACATGAAGATACTTTATTATAATTAAAAGAACATTTTAGGGCAGGTAGGTATAGACAAAATGAATACATATTCACCAAGTAATGGGTTAAAACAGGGGCGGGCAATTATTTTGGGCAGAGGGCCGCTTACTGAGTTTTGGCAAGCCATCGAGGGCCGCATGACAGGCATCCCAGGGCTGATAAATGTTAATTTTCTAAATTTTTAGGGGCTCCGCAGACCTGATAGTATGGCCTAGCAGGCCGCATCTGGCCCCCGGGCCACATTTTGCCCACCCCTGGGTTAGAAAGTAAATGGGATAGGCAAGCACATGACCAGAAGGGGACACCTAGATTGGAGGATGGGGCTGGGCAGCCTCACTATAAACACAGGCCCTCAGAGCTGAGTGGGCAGTTGCTGCAGAGAGCCAGAGGGGTAACATCACCCAGCCAGAGCTCCTGCTCCCAGAACACCTGGAGGTTAAGGGTAGGAACTATGGGGATGGAGGAGGTTCCTGGTCCTGGGACATGACCTAAAACTACACCCTGCTAGGGAAGGATGATGTGGTGGGGCTGCCTGTGGCAGGGTGGTCCCCAGGCAGGAGCCCCTAAGGGGACACTTGCGTGTCTATACACAAATGCCAGGAGCCTGGGGAA